TAAAATATTTTCCAATTCCCATAGAACCTAGATTGCAAAAAAATATGTTCCCTAACCCTCATTGGCATCGGGTTGTCTCTCTCACTCGTGTTTTCTGGTCATTCTCATTTTAGAAATTGACTTTTCACCTGAAAATAGTTGGTAATCACACTCTCCTAGAGCAGAAATCTACATTGGAGTCTCTGGCTTGGAAAACCCAAAGCTGTGGTTTTGCGAGCTGACTGGTGGCCCTGGACCCTGGCAGACCCATCCCCAGTCCCTTTGAGGCCCCGTTTATCCATGGCAGAAGCCCCTGTCCTTGAAGACTGTGATCCCAACAAATCTGTAACATGGTCTCCAAGACCAGATAATAGACACCTTCCTCTGGGTACACACTAAGAAGCTCCCTGCAGGGACTTCCAGAGCAGCAAAGGGCCACTCCCTACATCGAAGAGCTCCAAAACCCAGCTGAGGCAAGCCAGGTCCCCAGGCACAGGGCCCAGCAGCAGATCCATTCCTTTGCAAACATCTGGTGCACGCTCCACGCTGAGGTCAGGATGCTGCTTCGTCCTGGGCGGGGAGGGCCTCTCCCTCACTACCCTGCTCACTTTCTCAGGGTTTAGGCCTCAGCTTCTTACCGCCTCGTCTGCCTATTGATAGCCTTATGGGGAGCAGCTTCTCCCCCACCTCCCCACCCCCACCCTGCCCCAGGAAACAGAGCCTGTTTGTTGAGACTATCTGTGGAGCTTATCTGTCTCTTATGGAAGGGGGGTGGGAAAGGAGGGATAAACTCTGACGTCATGGGCCTGCGTAGGACAGCAGGGTTGCAAGCCATCTGCAGCAGGTGCTGGCAGGGCCCCTGGGAAAGGAAAAAGAGAGCAGCTGGCTCATCAGGTGGGAGTGTCCTGGGGTCAGACAAAGACCTCATGTCACGATGAGGTTAAGCTTTCCTGGAATTTCTGGCCCAGGGAGGATGGATGATGCTTCCTTGGCCTCCAATTCATCTCCTTACGCCAGACCTGATAGGTGCGGGACTCCTGGAGAGGATTCCAAGCTCAAGGAGACGCGGCCAGGCCAGGACCTCTGTGTTTTCTGTGGGTCCCCACCACAAAAGAGTCCCAGGGAATCCTGGGGGTTCAGGGTCCCCCTGTCTGGAAGTGTGTGTGTGTTTGTGCAGTAACATGCAGAGCCCTCTTCTGCCACAGCTGCTTTGTCCTGCCTTCATCCAGGGGTCAGAAGCCTCTCTTCCGGCCTCCTGATTCATTCTGCTTTTTCCCAATTATAGGTGGTGAAACCGAAGGCCCCATGCAGTGATGGGACTTGGCCAGGGTCCTGCTGCAATTTCCCTGCCTGGCCTTCATGAGATCTGCTCACCGCCTGCTCCGTGTCCTCTCTGGGAAGTTATGCAGCTGGAAGGAGGCCTCTGGGATAAAATAATTACAGAGAAAACAGATGGGCAGCGGAGCAATCCTCCCCTCCTCAGTGTGCCTGAGAATCCTTCTGTCCGGCCCCAGGGCCAGGAGGGGGCGCTGTTCCAAAGGGAGCGGTTACCACCTTCTGGGAAAGGGGCGCTGGACCATCCTCTCTTAGCCATTCCTCAGCATTTGTGTACCTTTCTCACCGGAGGTATCCTCATCAAGACCCACTCTCGTCTTCCATAGGATCCTGCTAAAGAACTGAACATCGACGGTCCCAAGAAACGGCCTGTCCGTGGTAGATTCAAGAGCCTTACCTTGCCCTCAGTGGAAGAGGAGAAAAAGGGAAGAAGGACTCACAAGAATGAAATCTTTTCTCTCCCTGTTCCCACCTTTCAGAATCCAGGAGGGAGAAGAGGGTCCCAGCTATGTAATTCTCTAATGCCTAGGCCTTGGCACGCTTCAGCCTGACTCTGACTTTCCCCACTCCCTGCTCCTTGTCTGTGTCCCCACAACTGACCACTCTCCCTCAGCCTCCTCTTTGCTGGCCTCCAGGCTTGCTTGCCCTCCTCACCTCCGAGAGCTCAGTAGACTCCCACTGTTGGAAGGCAAGCCCCTCCCCAACTTTATCACATCTCCTGCCTCCAGAACTGTCCACCACAGACTTACCTGTTTCTTGAGCTTGCCTCCTCTGGCTACCCCTACCTGAATGCTGCCCATCCCCCTTTTTCTTTCCTTAGGTCTGGGCACGCTGGGTTCTGCAACCTCAAGCCCTCCGGGCTTCCCTCGCTTTCACTGGGCTGCCCTTTAGTGAGAGCAATCTCTCATTCGGTTGTTTTTCTTTTATTTCATCCCTCAAAGCCCGGGTGCATTCCCCCTTCGCCCAATGGGAAACCGCTGTTTTCCATCTAGATTTCCCTTCTCTCCCTCTGCTGGGTCTCCTTTCCTGGCTCAGCACAGGCTTTTCCTTCTCCAGGAAGCTCGCCCTCTAGCCCAGGCTGCGGGAGCTGCTCTCCCTCCCTGCCACGTCCTTTCCAGCCTGCAGAGCTAGTGTCTGTTTCCTGGGGGTTCCTCCTAGCCCGGTTGGGACGTTGTATGCTGCAGGGATGCTCAGTGGATCTTCGGGGAATCGGTGGGTGGAAACGTGACAAATGACAGGATTCCCTGCAGAATTGCCAGGCCTTTTCTCTTTCCTCTACCATCAGGGCTCTTTACACTGAGCATTTAATAAAGTGCCACGAACAGCTCATGGTCAGCTGCTCGGTGGGCCCAACTTTCATAGGCCTAGCTCCTGGGACCGGAGCAGAAGAAGTAAACCTCACGAAGAAAAAGCAGGAAGGACCGTAGCGCCCAGTCAAGGCCCAGGAGGAACACAGAGTCTCCTCTGCAGCTTCCTGTGCAATGAAACCCAGGGGGACGAGCAGGGTGTGTGTGTGTGTGTGTGTGTGTGTGTGTGTATGTGAGAGAGAGAGAGAGAGAGAGAGAGAGAGAGAGAGAGAGAGAGGGAAATCTTCCATTGCAAAGACAGTAATGTGCCGACCACCTCCCTCCCTGAATGTCCCTCTCGCCCAGGCCTAGAACGTCCACTCACCCCACCCCCCAGGCTCAGCAGGAGCGGCTGTGGAGCCTGCCCCAGGGAAGCCTTGCTCCACAGTTCACTTTGATTTATTCTCAAAGCCCAAAGACAGGGAGTCCTACATGGCTGCCCACTATCACCAAGAACATCCAAGAGACAAAAAACAGGAAGAACCAGCCTGAAGAAAGGGGTGACTACAGAGCACCGGAGGCTTCCAACCTGTCCTTAATAAGGGATTTCAGAGGCTGTAGCTGTTGCCCCCAGAAACCAGCCCTAGAGTTAGTCTATCAGACATAGCCGGTATAAATAAAGGAGGTCTCAGAGAAGTTCCAGATTGCTTACATTCCTCTTTGTCCAGTAGTCAAAGAGGAAAAGGGACTTCCATTGCCCACCTGCAGATCCTTTCCTCTTCCTTTCTCCTCATAGAAGGAGTGGTGCCACTCTAAAAACGTTACCTCAAAGAGGCAATCTGGAGGGGCCTGGGTGGACGTGGGGAGTCAACTCACCAGAACTCACAGAGGATGCCCTGTTCATGTCTGGATCCTCTTCTAAAGCAGGTGATTCTTCTACCCAAACTCTGGCCTCAGGTGTAGGCTATTTCTTAAGCAAAAGGTCCGAGGGCACAATTGGTTGGTGGGCATTTTCTGACTCGGTGTGCCAGGGTGGGACGTAGAGAGCCATTGCCCCCTGGCTTTGGGTCCAGGCTCCCCGGCAGAACCACCTGATTCTCTTACCTCTTTATTCTGGCTACCTTCCTGCCTCTGGTGCAGTTTCCTCTCCTAAGTGGGGAAGAAAAACTCATTTCTGGAATCCAGGTCGTCTTAGCCACTGGAGGCTGTCACTGCACCCTGACCCACAGACACTAACCCAGTGCCTGGTCCTAGAGTCCGTCTGCCCGGCTTCTTAAGCCCGAGTCTCGGAGAAGTTCCAGATTGGCCACATCCTTTGTTCAGTAGGCCAAGAGGAGGACTTCCATCGCCCACCTGGAGCTTCCTCCCTCTTCCTGGGTTCTCTGCTCTCCAGCCCAGGCATAGTTTTCCTGCATCCCACTCAATTCTTGGGGTACTGGGCTCTCTGCCTGGAGGCCCATCCCCTGGAGACTCCTCAGAGCCCGAGGAATCAGACACCTAGCCTAGCCGGAGGAGAGGGAATCCTGAGCAGCAGGCCATGTCCCACAGACCTCTCTAAAAACACCGCCTGTCACAGTTCCCGGAAGCCAGACCAGGCGCGGGGCTGACTAAAGAACCCTCTGCAGCTCATGCAGGTGCACCAGACTCTGCAGCGGACAATCCACCCTGTGGATCCTCGCGTGGGTGCAGACAGGGTCAGGCGTGGCCCTATCCGTGCAGACGGAAGCCACCCTCGGGTCAGACGCAGGGACTTTATTTTGTGCGGCGGGGCCGGGCTGAAGGCGCACTTTAGAGCCCCAGGAGCTGTCACACCATGCCGCCGCACACACGCAGGAGCGCTCGCATTTCGGGCCTGCCTTGGTAGCCCACCTCGTTCGCTCTTCGCTCTCAAACACACCGAGGGGCGGGAGAAAAGCCTGCACTCTCCTTTCAGAGCTCCCCACCGAGACCCAGGGCAAACCACGCTCCCCCTGCTCCCCCTGCGCCTAAACCTCCGGCCGGGTTCTCTTCCTCCCCATTCCTAAGGCGTACGTGAGATCCGAACGAGCAGGTAAAAGGTGGAGCCGCGACCCCAGGCCCGAGCCTGTCAGGCGCCCAGGGAGGACTTTGGCAACAGGCAGGTCTGCGCGGATTTCGGGCTGTGCCATCTTTGTGGCCGCGTGACTTTGGGCAAGTGGTTTAATTCCTCTGAGCCTGTCTTTGCACCTGCCCAGAGGGAAAGCGATCCCTTCCCGGGAGAGGGTGTGTATGGAGGTCCCAGCGTGCAGGCTAGGCAACCAGATCCCCGGCGCTAGGCAGGCCGGGGCGCGCGCTCGCTGCAAATGGAGTTCCCTTGTGCGCTGCGCCGCTTTGCAGCTAGCTCCGAGCGCAATCGGAGGACAGCCCGCCAAGCCGCGGGATCTCTCGGGGTGAGGTGAGGGTGGGGGCAGAGGGGGAGCCCCGCAGCCCCCTCCCAGCCCTCGGAGCGCGTGCCATTGGCCCGGGCGGCCGGGTGGGCGGGGGGATGACATCAGCGGCAGGTTGGATTTATTAAGGCGCGAGCGGAGCTGCGGGCTCAGAGCGCACCCGGTCGGCACAGTCGGCTCCGTGGAGCTCTGGGACCCGCGCCCGCACAGCAGTCCCGCCAGCCCGCTCGCCCCGCGTTCGCCAGAGCATCTGCCCTCGCCGCTGCCTGCGTGTGCCCCTCAGCCTCCAGGGCACCATGCACCTTTCCCAACTGCTGGCCTGCGTCCTGCTGCTCACCCTCCTCGCGCTCTGGCCCTCCGAAGCCAAGCCCGGCTCGCCATCGAAGGTGGGTGCCGCCGCGGGGATGTGGGGGCCGTGAGAGGCTGGGGCTCTAGGAGATGCGGCCCCCAAGAGGGACCGGAGAGGGCGCGAAGGCGGTCCTCTCCTCAGAGAGGAGCTTGGGGGACAGCCAGGGAGCCCTGGAAGCTCGGGTTCAGGGGTCTACGACCCCCGCTTCGGGACAATGTCGACAGATGCGCAGCCCCTACCCCAGGGTGGCCTGCCGGGCGAGCGGCAAAAGCAGGGAGGGTAAGGGGCTCCCCGAGGGAGCGGACCACTGTGGCCGCGTGGCAGGTGGATGCCGTGCCGGGCGGTCGGTCGGCTTCTCCAGGGGAGCGCTCAGGGCTCTGGAAGGGGACAGATCGCACTCGCGGGCGCCTCAGGCTGGGGCATCAGGGGCCCCACGAAGTCTCCTCCAACCTACCCCTCGCCGCCGAGGTGCGCCCCTTCTTCACCTGCCTGCTCTTCCCCCCACCCCTCCCCCACCCCGGACAGGGCCTGCGAACTCCGCTCGGGGAGGTGTCAGCCGCGTCCCAGGCTGAGAGCGGCTCCCAGAGGAAGCGCGACAAGACCCTCGGCGGCGGCGGCATTAACCTCAGGGGCGACCGGTCGCGCCTGCTCCGGGACACCAAGACTCGATGGGCCCGCCTTCTGCAGGAGAAGCCACGGGAGAAGCCAAAAAAAAAATTCCCAAAGCAGAATTCGGGCAATAACTGCTTCGGGCATAAGCTGGACAGGATCGGCGCCTACAGTGGCCTGGGATGTTAGTGCGGCGACCCCTGGCGGAGGTGAGTACCACCAACCTGGCCGCCGGCGCTCCGGTGCACCTAGCTCCCCTGCGGCAGCGCCCACCAGAATCTAACCTTAGCCCCCCACCCCGCCAACCCCCACCTCACCGCCCCAGGCCGATTCCTCCCATCCCCTAGCCCTGGACCAGTCCGCCTCCCGTGGCCTTTGGAGGGGAACCAGGCTATACGAACATGAGATCATGTGTGTGCTAGTCATTTAACCCATCATCCTATTTTACAGACGGATAAAGGAGGGATGGAGTGAGGGAACTTTGGGAAGGTCAGAAATGGTTCAGGACAGATGGACGTCCCTGGCTTTCTCCGGAGAAGCAGAAACAGCTTGGAGAGCCCCCACCATCCCTGGACCATAAATGGGCTAGCAGCGCTGGCCCCAATTTGCCAAATGGGAGCTTGGAGGGGGGATCTGGGCTTTGTAGGAACAGAGGAGGAAGGGCATACATACCAGCCCAGGGCAAGTCTATCTGCTAACCACTGTATCATGGTGCCAGGCAATAGGCTGCCCAGAGGTCAGGATGCTTTCTAGGTCTTTTGTCCCTAAAGAGGGAAGACTTGGAGAAATACCTGCCCCCTTACTCTAGCGAGAATAGCCCGCTGTTTGCATCCGTCACCAGAGAGCTTTTCCGGCCCAGAGCATTCTGATTTTTGTCCCTTCTCTAAACAGTGGCTGTGGGCAGGCTGTCTGTCCAAGGTCCTGATGCTGCTGCAGCCCTTGTGACTTCAGGATCGAACCTGTTTCAGGGCAAGGGGAAAAAACACTAAAATAAATCTCATATTTCAAAAACGCAACCTACATGTCCCAAAATGAGCTCCTCGTCAACCTTCCCAACCCCTTCATACCTGGGCTCCCTGTTCCCTGCATGGCCTCCTCACTCTCCTGCCAGGTGCCACAGCCTGAAAATGTATTGTGGCAAAGGTCCTTCCTCTCTCTGCAGCCAGACTTAGCTCAATTTGTCAGACTCATCCCTGCAAAGGGATAATTGATTCTGCCATTTGGGGCCCAGACTCCTTATCTTCTTTGCATTCCTGCTGCCCATCAGTGCCCAAGGAAAAACCATGTCTCCGCCTTGGATATTAACACTCAAATACTTTAGAATCTGGTTTCCAGCCATTTCCTAAAGCCTGGCTACTGTCATTCCTTGTCCCACAGCCTGTCTGTACCACTCCAGGCCAAGCTATTCTCTCACCCAAGAAGTCTTACCAGTGTCAACACTCTGTTCCCCCAGGGGGTAGTGAAAATACCCTTTGGAAACTCTCCAGCGCATTGCCTAAGTCTTTTTCGCAGTTGTCCACATAAGAAATGTCCAAATCTGTAGGGAATTTTTCTAAGAGTTTATTTGAGCTAAACTGACATTGCCAAGATATTTTCAAATCTTGTTCCAAAAAACAACAACAACAACAACAACAAAAACAGTTTTGCAGCTTATTTTACACATTTGGAATTAAGGAATGAGAATGTAAGGAAGATTACAGGAAGATGGGAGAAAGCAAGGCATGGGTTGGATTACAGGAGAGTTAAGATAAATGATCTCTCAAGGGTTGTTATGCCTCTGACAGGTCTGAAAAAGGATTGCTGTGGCATTTTTAAAAAAATATATTTTATTGATTTTTCTTACAGAGAGGAGGAGAGAGGGATAGAGAGCCAGAAATGTCGATGAGAGAGAAACATCGACCAGCTGCCCCCTGCACACCCCCCACCGGGGATGCGCCCTCAACCAATGTATATGCCCTTGACCGGAATTGAACCCGGGACCCTTCAGTCCGCAGACTGACGCTCTACCACTGAGCCAAACCGGTTTCGGCTGTGTGGCATTTCTAAGGTGTTAACCTAGATCACATGTGTCAAACACAAGACCCGCGGGCCAAATCCGTCCCGCCAGGCCTTGCAATGTGGCCCGCACCGCGCTGTCATCACTGCACTCCGCTGCGTTTCCATCACAATGACAGTTTATGACTGTTCAGTAAACCATTCGGCCCGCAGTTTAGGCTGGATTTTAGATTTTGGCCCCTTCTCTGATTGAGTTCGACACCCCTAACCTAGATACTCAAAAATGGGCAGGCTGGGTTAGGGCAAGGATAAACATTTTACTAAGGAAGGTATAGGCTTGAGGTGTGACTACCCACCATGACCTGCACAAATAGGAATTTATGATCAGCACCCCTTTTAAATATATATATATAAATTGATTTCAGAGAGTAAGGGAGAGAGATAGAAACATCAATGATGAGAGAGAATCACTGACTGGCTGCCTCCTGCATGCCCCCTACTGGGGATTGGGCCTGAAACCCAGGCATGTGCCCTTGCCTGGAATCGAACCTGGGACCCTTCAGTCCATATGCTGATGCTCTGTGCACTCAGCCAAACCAGCTAGGGCCAGAACACTTTTTCATCTGACCTATAGGTGCCTCCTCAGATTAACTCATGGGCAATTGTGGGCCAGATGCTAACTGAAGGTGACCTGAAACGTCCCCGTGTCAGAGACTAGAGAACCCTGTCCCACCCAGCTGGGCATTCTCTCCCACCTGTCCAAGGTTTTAGCTGGTGCCCTTCTTCTCTCTGCAGCTAGACGTGGCTCTGTTTGTGGGACTCATCCCTGCAAAGGGATAGTTGATTCTGCCATTTGGGGCCCAGACTCCAGAAGCTTTCACTGTATCGGCTTGCTCTCTTTTCTCTAGACCACATGTGTCAAACACAAGACCCGCGGGCCAAATCCGTCCCGCCAGGCCTTGCAATGTGGCCCGCACCGCGCTGTCATCACTGCACTCCGCTGCGTTTCCATCACAATGACAGTTTATGACTGTTCAGTAAACCATTCGGCCTGCGATTTAGGCTGGATTTTAGATTTTGGCCCCTTCTCTGATTGAGTTCGACACCCCTACTAGACTAAACAACAAAGAGTTGGGAGACACAGGCCTCTACTTTTTCGCTTGTGACTTAAGCACCAAGCTCAAAGTTTAGAATCCGGACAAACTTTAGAATCAATTTATTCTATGGGTCAGCGGGAGATGAGGTGAGGGCCTGGAAAGTACCTGGTATGCATGTCCCCCAGAGGCTCTTGGTTCTTGGGTGTGCCTGTCCGTGGGTACCAGATGGTGATCCAATGGGGGCTGTGCAGGAGGAATCTAGATTACTAAGACTTCCCAACCCTTTGGTCCAGGGAAATTGGTCAACTTCCTGAAAGTTCTCTTTTAGCTGAACACCCCCCTCCAACACCCTTAACCCACCCTCACCCCCCATCCCCACAACCTTAGCTCTAAGCAGCCCCCATAATGACTGTCGCTGATGATTATAGTCTTGATTACAAAATGGTAATGACAGAGACTGGGTGTGTCCAATGCTTGAATGAACACCTTGCCCACGGGCCCCAGGGACATCACAGACATCTGTCATCTGTTTAAACACAGGAGACGGTCAGAAAAGGGAGCTGCGGGAGAGTTCATCAGGCCAGGCCTGGGGTCCCTCTGCACTGACGGTTCTGGGGGGTTGGGGGCACCACACATCTCAGGAGGATGCCTTCCTCCACCCCAAAGCACCCGTACAGCCCTCCTGAATTGACTCTGGGGTTATTGCTCTAACCCCAGCACACCCCGGGAGACCATTCACTTCTCCGGGCTGCTGAGACCCCAGTTCCTCTGCTTGGGAAGGAGGAGAGCCTTTGAGGTGAAGCCAGCTGGGGAAGGAAGTGCTATTTACTGAGTGGCAGCTGTGACCCAGACGCTCTGCATGACCCCTTGTACACCCTGGGAGGTGACTATTATCCCATGTTATGGGTGAGGGAATCCATACTCAAAGCTCTCCAGGGCCTTCCAGAAAATAAATATCAGAGCTGGGGTTTGAGCCCAGAATTCCTGATTCCTCCGATGTTTCTTTCCCCTCCATTGTCATTCAGACACATAAAGCTGAGGCCAGCACCTGACGGAGGGTTTGTGTTGTAGCAAGGACGGGAAAGGGGTATTTTCCATCTCCCTCCCCTCATCATGTGTCCCTGAGCCAAGGGCAAGGCCTGCGGTTAGCCAGAGGGGCGGCTGGCTGGCAGACATTCTGGTTCCTCCTGTGCCAGGGCGGGAAGTGCCAGTGTCCCAGTGGAGGGGAGATGAGGCTAGGAAAGGGTGGCGTGGAAGGCCCCTTTCCTTCTGCCTGGGGCCCAGGTGGAGGGACACTGCATCCTGCTCCTTTGGGAAAGGAGAGGAAGGTTCTAGAACTGCCTGGCAGGCCGGGCTCCCTCCGCTGAGGGCCAGCACTGAGTGTCCCGTGTCCCCTCTGTGTTTCAGGATTGAGAACTTGCTCCGTTTTGCTGAGATTATCCTTGGTCATCTGGAAGCACCTCCAAGGCAATGTGGCTTTTACATTTCTTTCTTATTTTTTCCCTTGCGGTACTGGGAATAGGCAACACCAGCTGTTTTATTATTATTTGGGGAGGGGGTATGATTTTATTGTTTGTTTGTTTGTTATGAAAAGGAAAAATAAAAAGTTATATATATTACATATATATAGTATACATGAAACACACACCTACACCGACCTAATGACAAGGGACAGTTTTTCAGAGACTGACAAAGCCAGCTGTAAACATTGCTGTGTGTAAATTCATGTCATGCATAAATGTATTTATGTTGTAAAGCTATTTATATTGTTTATAAAGAGATATTTATAAAAAGTTTTATTTATGTAACTAAATGAAAGAAGTCAATCATTGTAATGTTTTTGTATTAACTAGTTTAAAATGTAAAAAAAAAAAAAAAAAGTCCTTCTGTGAACATCTTGAAAACTGTCTTTATTTATTCAACGCATTTATTTTTTAGGAAGTAGTCTGAGGAAGAGGGAGAAAGTGGAAGACAAGGCTTTTTCCCTCTAAACAGATCTCACAACTGGGCTCCCAGTTGTTAGTTTCTTGTATCAGACAAAATCGCTATTCTACTGAATCTGTTGCTCCGGGCTTGGCCTGTGGACTGTTCCTAATGGTTCTGACCAGCTTGACCAGGTCAAGAAGCTCTGCCCAGAGCACCTGACAGCTGGGAAATCAGAAGTCATGAATTCAATTAAAAATTTAATTTAGAAAAAAATCTATAGCTAAAATAAAAATTAAGAAGAATTAAAATTGGCATTTAGCCCCGGCTGATGTCGCTAAGTGGTTAGAGTGTCAGCCCACACACCAAAAGGTCACAGGTTGGATTCCCAGCCAAGAGCTCATACTACCTGGGTTTCAGGTTTCCTCCAGCCCTGGTCAAGGTGCAAGCAAGAGGCAATCTATTGATGCGTCTCTCTCACATCGATGTTTCTTTCTCTCTCCTTTCCTCCCTTCCACTTTTTCTAAAAGTCAATAGAAAAAATATCCTCAAGTGAGGATTAACAACAACAACAAATCATTGCATTTAACTAAGGGCCTTTAATCCCATTGCACCTTTTCTCTGTTATTACAGGAAAGAAAGAACCAAAAGCCCCCCTTCTGTGTGGGGGAGATTTAGAAGGTTCCTGTCTATCTTGTAGAATTGGTCAGGTTATCTCATGAACCTTAGCAATCCCATTTTATAGACTTGCTCATGGAGGCTCAGGGTGGGTGGTTTTTACCTCACAGTGAATGCTGTGGTCAGCCTGGGGGTGAGAGGGAGGAACCCCCTGAGGGAAAGAGGATGGATCACCAGGTGTCATACTCACAGAGTGCCATGTGCTTTTCTTTCTACTCGAAGCTGCTAAGAGCTATGGCTCCTGTGCCCCAGAGAGCCTTGGATGTGAAATGATGAATATTTAGAATCTCTTTTCCCAAAACCAGCAGGAAACTTTTAAGTAATTCCAAGGTAATCTCACTGCATCCTTGGTAAGGCGACACTCATACAACATTCCCATATGTCTCCTGTCCCCCATTTGGTGAAAGCTGGGACATTAAGAGCCTTCAGGCTCATTACATCAGAAGGGCCTGACACCACCGAGGGCATTGGGAGCTGAGTGTCCTGAGGTCATGGGGTCACAGGCCCAGGTGAGAGATTGGAGAGGCAAATCAGCAGCCAATGACCTCGCCTTTCTGGGGTGTCTGTGTTCCCTAACCTTTGCTCCCAAGTCATCCTCCAGCAGCAGGTTCTCAGGTGGGTGGGTGGCTAACGTAGTGCTCAAGGGCTAATTCATGCGAGGAAACCCCTTTTAAGGTAAGTTCCCTCTCGGGGAGATCCCAGGCCTTCCCACCTCCTCAACTTCCACCGCTGCCACTGTGGACATCTCAGTGCCCACCCTGCTTCTGTGGCTCAGATCTCGGTGTCCGTGGGAGTCAGCGGGAAAGTTCCAGCACCCGGGCCTCCCCAATACATCCGCTCACAGTGTGTGCAGACCTGTGCTGGACGCGGAGGGCCACTGCAGAAGCAGGGACGGAGTGGGAAGAGGCAAGTGGGAGCACTGTGGGCTTTGCTGGTGGTGAGTCAGGCACATCTTCCCAAAGCCCAGAGACATAGGGGTGGCAAATGTGGGGTTTAGGGAGCACCCTCCAGAGGCTAAAGGCTTTCCCTTTGGACAGTTTCCGGGGCTGCTAGGACCCTCTAGGCTGCTAGGCCTAAGCTACACAGGCTATTCTCCCAAGATTCTCTTTGCATGAATTAGCCCGAGAACAGCAGAACAATGTGCACAACCCTCTGTGCCCACTTCTCCCCTGCCAGGGGAGGCCTGCTGGCTAGAATGTTGCTGGATCACCAGTTCTCCTTTGACCTGCAAACCTGAAGTCCTGAGACTGCTTCCTTGGCAGTGATGCAGATATGTCAGCCCAGCCAGGAATTTCTGGAAAGTCAGGAAGGATAAAAAAATACTCCCTAAGTAACAGGAAAAGTTTGGAAACTTCCAGAGATTGTCCACGTGCTTTAATTCAAGAGCTTCCGGTCCTCTGGCCAGGTCTTGGCCTCCCCGCTTTCCGTGAGCATCTCCCCTCCAGAACCACCTGGAGAACCTGCAGTTTCCCTCTCACCTAGGGGGGACCACAGCTGCCCAGATTGCTGGCAGAATGGGTCCAAGGTTGGGCCTGCTGGAGCCTTCCTGGACAGGGCAGCACCTCCACAGTGTTGCAGAGTTCCCTGCCAAGGGCCGGTTGGGCTGGGCAGAGGCAAAGAGAGCCATTCCCTTCCCTGAGGTGCTAGGCTATTGGGGATTTAGGGTGGAGAATGGGGAAGTTAAGAGCCTGCCTGACCATGGAGGAGCCCTGGCCCTGCAGAGCTGGACCCAGGAACCCCACCTCGGGCTCCCAAACACACAAGGAGGCCCCGTCTTTCAAGCCCATGCCAGGGCATTTCTCCAGAGATGTACCCCCAATCCTATCAAGAGGTGATGGGGAATTGGGGAAGGCAGGGCCTCCAGGTCCTCTGTCAGGCACACTGTTCCAGGAGTTTGCCTTCCCCCAACTGCCCAAGTCATGGGAGGTCCTCCCCTGGCAGCCACGACCCCACAGGGGTGGTGGAAATGGGGTTGCACACAAGCTCTGCAGGTGATCAGAGAGGCCACCACACATGGACGGACAGGTCAGAGTCTGCCCTTTTGTAGGAATAGCTCTTAGCTCAGGCAGCTGGTGGGGTGTAGAAGAAAGGGCCCCCAACCTTTGTTAGGAAGTAACAGTCAGGGTCCCTCAGAATTGGAATTGGAATCAGCTGGTTTGTGTGAAGACACTTTACTGAGGGCCTCCTTTCAGCGGCATGAGCGGGGGGAACCCAGGATCCCGTGAGAAGCCAGTCTCTCCACTGGAGTGAAGGGAGGAAACGCCCCGAGTTGAGCTGGGTAGAGGGGTCATCCTGAGGGAGCTGGATGGGTCACTGAAGCAGGACAGAATGAGGGAGAATAACCCAACCCCCACCTCCAGTCTCTTGCTGGTGCCTCCAACTGGCTAAACCCAGCAGGCATCAGCCAGAGGAGAGCCCAGGTGATGCGGCCTGTAGCAGTAGCCCGCTAAGACAGGTAGGTGGGAGGCAAACAGACTCAACAGCCCCAAAGGGCTTTGGTTTCGGCAGGGATTCAGCACCCTCCTCTGGCAGATAGGGGGCTGATAGCTCCTTGCCAGAGACAGTCCCTTGTCTTGGTTGCAGAACACAGGATTGCCTGGGTCAGAAATGTGGCCACCCAATAACTGATGGCTCTGATTCTGGGAGTGGGCCCACATTCATAGCTTCACTGAGCTTGTCTGGAGGGCCACTGGCTCTCCATTCATGTCCCACCAGGACTGCCAGCCAACCCTGTCCCCTCCTGTCAGAGAGTGGAATTTTTGAGCATGCTTCCAGAGAGGCCATGGACTATGTCCCAGATAGAGCTGTCAGTGCTGACCGCAGGCCAGGCCTTGAGATAGGGTCTCATGGCCCCTTCCCAGCACGTAGGCCTTCTTTCATAGAACACTGTCAGCTTTCTGAAGAACAGGATGACCCGGTGAATAACATGGTCGTCAATGGCATGACTCTGATGTTGCTTGGGAAAACCTGTTTTGTCTTGGGTTGTTTGCTCTGCAAAAACAAGGTGTGGTTAATGTGCTTAAAAGTGGTTCCCCACAAAGAGTCGCTGCTGCTCTTCAGACCCCTGCTTGGAGAATGGCAGAGCAGTTGCCCGGCCGGCTAATAAAGGCTCCCTAAATTTTATTTGATCTGGGCTCCAGTGGTCGTTCACTCGCATTTGCTCCCTGCTGGCAACTGCCTGATGCTCTCTATCCTACCCTGGTCCAGACCCTGGACAGATATGGTTTTTACAGGGAAAGAATAGGATTAAAGAGGGTACCCAGCAAGCCCCCACCTGTCCCCCCACCTCCACTCCAGAGCAGACCCACGTTATGAACCTGCCTGACTCCAGCACAAGTAGACTTCCCATCCCCAACCTCAGTCTACCCTTTGTCCTATTCTAGAATTTGAGTTTGTTTTCACATCCCGGGCTTGATCTTCCATTGCACCAATTCTGCTCCTAACTGCAGTGTGGCCTTTGAGTTCACCGTTTCATTTCCTGCATGTTTTCTTTTCTCTGCAAAAAGTTTTTTGTGTTTCATTCTTTCCTCCCCTTCATCTCCTCTTGTTTCCTTTTTCCTTACTCTGCTGCCTTTTTATTCTAGCTCCTCGTTCATAGAAACGATGCCCTCCTGCATTCTATGTGGAATGCACCACAATTTCCTGAAACTGTCTTCTAGATCCTTCTGCAAATACATTTCGGAGGCCTGTCCCCTGCAAATTCTAAAGGTATGAGGAAGACGTTGGGAAAGTGGCAAAACATTAGAAATGAAAATAGCCTGATACTTACAGAGTTCAGAGAGTCACTGACCAGCTTCTGGTTGGCTCAGAGCCTGGGGCTGAGTAGAGACAGGACCCTGGGAGCTGGATGCTTGCTCAGTCCTGATGGAGGCATTTAGCCCAGGGGCCCCAAGCCGAGAGTGGGGTGGATGTTTCTCTCTCTGGCACTTTATTAGTGTCAGTTCTTCCTGATTCCTCCTGATTTGGGCATCACCTTGCCTGTCCATCTCACTTTGGAGTGCTACGAGGTTGGGTCCACACCTACATGTTCCTGTAGCTTTGGGACCAGGAACTAACATATTGTATTTAGATTTGTGAGAAGCAGACGTTTATGGATTTTTCCCCCTTTTTCACAATCCCACCAAATTGATTGCAGTGATGGTTGCCCAACTCTGTGAATATACTAAAACCACGGAATTATACACGTTGAACCTGTGAACTGTACAGCATGTGAATTATATCTCAATAAATCTGTTACTTTAAAAATAAGGTTATTTCGCCGAAACTGGTTTGGCTCAGTGGTAGAGTGTTGGTCTACGGACTGAAGGGTCCCAGGTTCGATTCCAGTCAGGGGCATGTACGTTGGTTGCGGGCACATCCCCGGTAGGGGGTGTGCAGGAGGCAGCTAGTCGATGTTTCTCTCTCATCGACGTTTCTGGCTCTCTATCTCTCTCCCTTCCTCTCTGTAAAAAAATCAATAAAATACATATTTTTTTAAATAATAATAAAAATAAAAATAAGGTTATTTCAAAAGGGAGAGTGTGAAAAATTTCAAAAGTCTCAGAATAAAGTCAGGCACTCAGAACCCAGCCCTGTTTGAGGCTGGGCCTTTCCCAGGAGTGGTGTTTGCTAAGCTGCAGGCAGAGGTGGGTGGACCAGCCCAGGTGTCAGGTGGCCTGGCACCACCCCTGCCAGCTGGGAGGTTTGGCAGGTGAAACCTCAGCATCCTCTTCCATCAAGTGGGAACGATACTCCTGCCTCGAAGGGCTGCTGCAAGGGTAACAGGAGAGGAGCATGCTGGGACCTTGGCTCTGCTTCCGGCGAGCAGGGGGCTATGATTATAAGACGAGGAGCATGCATGGTCCCCCATCTGAGGACCCAGGCTTCCCAAACTACCAACAACAGCAACAAAAACCCTGCCCCATTAACAGAGAGAGCCGAACGACCACAGCTTGAGGATCGTGCTTCCCCCTCCTAGTCACACCCCTGGTCCCAGGGGAACCCCAGAGACACCACACACTTTCTTTCTTTTTCCTCCGGTTGACAGTCCATGGTTCACACGCCCTTAAAGGGGACACAGCCACAGTCATCTGTGGGGCACAGAACTCCCTGAGCTCTGGGGCTGGATGAAGGGAAGTTCTGGGTCTCCAAGCAGTGACACTAGGCCAGGTCCATAGTCTTGGTGAGCTGCCACTTCAGCTACTGCCACCAGTGCTCAAGCCTTTGGGCCTGGAATCAGCCCAGGTGCGTGGGGAGGCAAAGTGGATGGAGGGGTGGAGGAGGGTAACAGATGACCCCAGGCACAGCCTCCTTCTTCATGACATCCTTATCTCTGTCCTTTGCATTGTCCTTATATGCCACCCAACAGCTCCTGACACTCCCCCAAACTCTTTCTTCCTCCTAAGTCTAGCGACAAAGGCCTTCATGCTTTAACACAAAGATGGCCAGAGGGCCATTAGTTCTCAGCCCATAAGAGCAATCCCACCTGGGCAGAGCCACGATGCTCTACTAACCCCACAGTGGCTGCGAGTTCCTCAAAGGCCAGAATGGGTTTGTTTTGGCTTGAAGTTCAACATCCTGCCTAGCTACTAGCATGTCTTAGTAGACACTCAGTGAAGGTTTGTGGAAGCAAAGGGCAAATTGAATGTTCCAGCTGATCCTTGCAAATGGGAAGTTTGGTGACTCTCATGGATGATACCCTGGTGGGACCCTGTGGGTGGCACTCACAAAAGGGGCAGGGGCCCATGAGCAGGCCACATTCTGTTATCAGCAAGTGAAACCAAAGTGGCTGGCCTAGCAGTGAGTAATTTTTTCCACCCTGTCTTCTAAAACACTGATCCAATCCTCAGCTCTTCCGGATCTGCTGTATACTCCTTCCAATGTGTTCTTTTTTAGTGCTATGTCAGCCTATATTTCTGACTGTTCTTTTTCATAGTTATTCTATTTTTTTTTTCTCACGCTGCTGAGCATCTTTACCATCACTATTCTGGACTCTGTATCAGGTAAATTCCTTATCTCCATTCCATCTATCTGTTCTTCTGGAGAACCTTCTTGTTCTTTTATTTGGAGGAGTTTTCTTGCCTGCTCATTTTGGCTGCCTGTTTGGGTTCATGACTATATATTAGATAGATCTGCTACTCCTCTCCATCCCTAGTACAGGACATTGTCAAATGCTACTTCTGATTAATGAGGTCAGGCAAATACTCAAAGCCTCCAGAGACCAGCCTTTATCTGAAACTGATTGGATTCACTGTTAACACATTGCAGACTAGTAGTTTTTTGTTTGTTTTTGAATATATTTTTTATTTTATTTATTTATTATTATTATTATTATTATTATTTATTATTATTATTATTTTTTTACAGAGAGAGGAAGGGAGGAAGGGAGAGGGATAGAGAATTAGAAACATGGATGAGAGAGAAACATTGATCAGCTGCCTCCTGCACACCTACTGGGGATGTGCCCGAAACCAATTTACATGCCCTTGACCGGAATTGAGCCCAGGACCTTTCAGTCCCCAGGCTGACACTCTATCCACTGAGCTAAACCAGTTTTAGCCAGACCATTAGTTTTATTGCTGGCTTTATCCAGTGGCCAGATAAATTTCTATTTAATGAGTATAAAAAACGTTTTAAATAAATGTTAAAGGCATGCCTTAAAATTAAATACCCATTGCATTTTGAAGTTTTTTATTACATGTTCTTACAAGCTAATATCTTTTTAAAGTATGACACTTTGGCCCTGAACGGTTTGGTTCAGTGGATAGAGCATCAGCCTGCAGACTGAAGGTCTCAGGTTTGATTCCAGTCAAGGGCATGTACCTTGGTTGCAAGCACATCCCCAGTAGGGCGTGTGCAGGAGGCAGCTGATCGATGTTTCTCTCTCATTGATGTTTGTAACTATCTATCCCTCTCCCTTCCTCTCTGTAAAAAATAAATAAAATATATATTTTTAAAAATTAATTAAGTGTGATACTTTATAAAACACTGTATAATATGAAAACGTAAGAATTCTCGTGATCCAAACTAAAATGTTACAAGTAGCCCTCAGGCAATTATCCTCAGGTATGGCAAGAGGTTTTCCAATAGGGTGGGGCAATTGCTTCTGTCTGGAAACTAATTCTCATTCTCAGTCTCTTAATGGGCCTCAAAACTCCATACCTTGGGACAAGGAGTTTTCCAATAGAATGAGACAACTGTCCCCTTCAGGCAAGAACTGCCTAAATAGAAAGGTCTACCTGAGACAGGTGACCTCCTCAGTGTGAGGGAATGACAGCACAGGAAACTGTGGTGTCTGCTTTCTGAGCTCTAACCTCAGAGGCCTCAACCCTTCTGCTCACATAGCTCCAGTCCACTCTGCCCTGCCTCCATGGGAGCACCAGGTAAGGGAATGTGCACTAAATGTTTTAACTGGCCCTTTAAAAGGGTACCTACATTTCCAGCTGTCTATCCCTGGCAGACAGCAACCCTGCTGCTTTTCACAGGCAGATGCTATGTGGGCAATTTTCTCAGTTCTGGTACTCTCTGCTGGGGGGCCCAGCTTGGGGACTAGACACAAAAATTCTCAGTGACAGACTCCAGAGTTAAGACATCTCTCCTGAACTTCGGCTGTTCTCTGAGAATCTGGCCAGCCCTTTTGCACCTCCACCCTTCCTATAAATCTCTACGCAGTCTCCAGTTTCCCTTTTTGGTTATTAGGGTTCTCTCCAGCAAGTTTTCAATGGATTATTTAGGATAGCTTTTTTTGTTTGTTTGTTTTTGTTTTTTTGTTGTTCAGTTGTAATTCCAATTTGGTCCTGGAACCTTGTCTGTATAGCATCCTGTGACCATTTTTAATCTTCCTTCTTTTGGACATTCTGAGAACAGCACTCTGATAAGTGATTATGCTCAATAATAGCACCCTCTTGTGGTCATTCAGAAAACAGCTCCCTAGTTAGGGATTAGGCCAATGGCGCCCTCTTGCCAGCATTCAGAGGACAGCACCCTAGTATGTGTTTAGTTCTGATAGCACCCTCTCTGGGGCATTTTTTGAACTGCACCCTAGTAAGGTATTAGATTCTATAGTGCCCTCTTGTGTGCATTCTTAGGACAGCATCCTAGTAAGGGATTAGGCTCGATGGCGCCCTGTTGTGTGCATTTTTAGAACAGCATCCTAGAAAGGGATTAGGCCCATAGCACCCTCTTGAGGGCACTCTCAGAACCGCACTCTAGATTAGGCTCAATAGTGCCTTCTTTTGGTCTTTCAGAGAACAACACCCCAGTCTTGATTAGGCTCAATATACCTTCTTTGGAGCATTCTCAGAAAGGCACCCTAGAAAGTGATTAGGCTCAATAGCAACCACTTGTGGGCATTCTTGAGACTTGCACCCTAATAAGGAATTAGACTCAATAGTGCCCACTTGTGGGCATTCTGAGAACCACATCCTAGTAAAAATTAGGCTCATTAGTACCCTCTTGTTGGCATTTACTGATAGAGAACAGCACCCTAATAAAGAAATTGTGAGTCTTGGAAGAAAAGGAAAAAAAGAAAAAAACACCTTGGCCCACAGCTCCCTTAAGCAGTCCTCCTGTATTTTAATTATTTTTATTTTTAATTCTCTCATTGAGTAATTTTTCCACCCTATTTTCTAATATACTGATCTGAGCCTCAGCTTTTCCTACAGCTATGTATTCCTTCCAATGTGTTCTTTGTTAGTACTATGTCAGCCTATATTTCTGAATGTTCTTTTTCATAGCTATTATATTGTTTCTCATGCTTCTGAGCATCTTCACCATCATTATTCTGGACTCTATATCAGGTAAATTCCTTATCTCCATTCCATTTATCTGTTCTTTTGGAGAACCTTTTAGTTCTTTTATTTGGAGGGTGTTTTCTTGTCTGCCCATTTCGGCTGCCTGTTTGGGTTTGTGACTATGGATTAGGTAGATCTGCTACTCCTCTCCATCCCTAGTACAGGACATTGTCAAATGCTATTTCTGACTAATGAGGTCAGGCAAATACTCAAAGCCTCCAGAGACCAGCCTCTACCTGCAACTGATTGGATTAACTCTTCATCTCAGAAACAAGAACTATTCAGGACAACTCTCATCTAAGGGACGAAATTAAAGAGTGACTCCTGCAGGAAACACGTCTTTCCAGCCCAGAGCTTTCTCCTTACCCATATTTATGCTTAAAAACAACAGAAATGGCTCCTCTGTCTCTGTCACTGTCACTATCAGTTTCAAGACTTTATGATTCTGGAAAGTTCGTTTCCCTGGATCACTGCTTCCATCTGTCTTCTAGCAAAGTGCCCTCCCTGTGGTCTTTTCCTGCAGTGAGAAAGTCTCTCTGACCCCTGAAGACAAACATCTAGGATATATGTGACTATCAACTCTCTTGGTCCCTCTGAGCCTCAGTTTTTTATCTGTAAAATGGGGTGATATCTAATTCAGAAAGCTGTGGTGAGGATTGGATGCTCCCTTAAGGTTCTTAGATGTTGGCACAGTTAATACTTAATAAATGGCAAAAAGAACAATAAACTGTGCAGGGGCTATGTTGACAAAGTGTATTGAATATGAGAATGAATATAAAGCTATCATCTTTCGTAGGTTATAATTATTTTAAATAAAGACATTTTTGCAGAAACAGAATTTAAGTTGGATACCTGAAACCATTTCTCTGAGTACTGGGGGTTTAACTCAGCTAACGCAGAAGCAAATGCTGTCGACCCTATCTGCCAAGAACATCCTCAACTGGGCCACATCTTGTCCCTGCTCTGCTCCCACCTTGCTCAAGCCTCCTCTGTCTCAGTTTTGACAATCACAAGAGACTCCTAGTAGGTCTCTGTGTTTCCACTCTTAATCCCCTCTCCTCACACAGAAGCTCAAGGGACTGTTTTCACCCCAGGGCCTTCGTATTTGCTGTTCTCTCTGATTGGACAGCCATTTCCCCAGATATCTTCCTGGAGGATTCATTTATTCAGATCTCTGCTCTGATGCCAACTTCTCAGACAGGCCTTTCCCAACCATCTTATCTGGATTACCTTCCTACCTTACCTCCCCGCTCAGCGGTTACCTCCTTATCCTGCTTTATGGTTCATCTGATTATATTATGTGCTTATTTGTTTATTGCTTTCCTTTTCCTCTAGAATGTAAATTTCATTGGGGCAGGATTTTGTCTTGTTCTCACTGAAAGTCCAGTATCTAGAGTCTACACAATAAATGCTCAATAAAAATGTGTCCAATGTATAAGTCATGTTTACAGCCAACTCCTGGGTAACCACTCAGTTACAAGCAAATTATTTTAAAAATGCAAGGCCTGGGTATATCAGGGAGGTGTCTGTGGGTTTTTCAAATTACTCAGAGAAATCGCTGAAATCTGAATTGTTCTCAGAAAAGGGGACTCGGAGCCATGAGGAGAAAGTTAAAGCCTCTGAGAGGTGGCAGGGGGAAGGATCCACCAAGTCGTTCCTGGTCCCTCTCCTTCTGTGGAATGCTCCCTAGAGGGCCCACAGGGCAACTCCAAGAGAGGCTTCCCTGCCTGGAGCCCCCTGTCCCACAGGTGAGTTCAAAAGCCTTCAGGTGCTAAAACAGCATAGAAAGTCTGTTTCTAAAGTGGTGACAAAAGGAGACACAAATAACTGGGTTTATTATAAGTTTCACTTTTTAAAACTTCAATGGAGTGGTGGCTACACTTATCAAAAGTCAATGAACCTCATGGACACAGACAATAATAGGGTGGTGAAGGGGACGGGACAGGCTGGAGGGGCTCAATGGGGGATAAAGGGAGACACATGTAATACTTTCAACAATAAAAAATTATTAAAAATTCAATGAACTTAAAACACATTGAAGTCCACCTCTTATATGTAAATTATATGTCAGTACAGATGGTTGGAAAATAACAAAGAGGTAACCTGAGTGAGGGGAGGAAGGTGAGTCACCAATGACAGCCAGGCTCTGAGCCCAGGGATTCTGCCCCTGGAGGTAAGAAGTCAGGGACTGCAGGAAAAGAAAAAGGAGGAACAGTCACATGGAGCTACACCCTGATTTTTATAGAATGTAAACTGTTACTAGGTTTAGGAAATCTTTGTTGCTGACCCTGATACTTTTACATTTCTTTAAAAGATCTTTCAAACAAAACTAGCACTACCAATCATGTGCCACCACCACCACCAAAACATACTGCACTGGGTCTACATTTAAGCAAGGACCAAAACGACAGAACAATTTGGCCTATACATGGTTAATTCTACAGAGGTCTTTTGGATAGCGGGCATGGCAAGGGAAACCACAGTCTGCTGGTGCCCTCTGGTGGCCAACTGGCAGAACTGCATATGATTATCAAAGTTTTAAGTCCGTGGTATCCAGACTAGCTCATCATGTTTGTTAAAACACAGTTGGCTAGGCCCACCCCCAATTTCTACCTTAGAAGGTGTGAGGTAGGGCCTGAGAGTGACCATTTATAACACGTTCCCAGGTGATGCTGCTACTGCTGCTATTCATGAGGGCAAACGGAGAGTAACTGGGTTAGGGTTATCTCCTCCAATACATTGCATCTGTCATGCTAGATGACATGCTAGGAAATTAATTAAAATAAGCATTTTTTTTCTACCTCTCCACAGTAGTTATGTGTGCTTTTTTGTTGATTTTTTTCATCTTCTAGATTTTTTGCAATAGGGTTATAACTTTTTTTTTTTTAATTATTACCACAATGGCTTCCAAAAGGCAGGCATTGTCCTCTTTGCAAAGATGGACTGGGCACTTCAGAGTGTGGGCTCTTCCTTGGCTTTTTAATAACCTTCTGTGGAAAGACCTGTTCTTGCAAAGTCCCAGGAGGATGAGGGTTGGGCCGCCATTCTGTGGGGCTGGCTCGCCAAACAAGGGAGGAGACCCCTCTTCTCCCAGGTTGGTGCTCCTTCTGCCTGGGGACTCCAGAGGCCTCTCACTGCCTCAGGCTGTTGCTCTCAGGTTCTTCCCCTACTCCTCCAAGAGCTCTTGAGATCTGGGCCCAGCCCCCACCCTACTTGTTTGCTGAAGGGTCAGGTTTGAGGCTGCAGAGGTAAAGGCAGCCAGCTCCCACTGGCTTTGCAGAAAGGAGAACTCTCAGACATTTCCGGGACCAGGGAAGATGGCAGTGGGAGTGGGGCAGGTTCCTGGAACCAGCATTCCCAAGACCACAGGGACTTCCCTGCATCGAGTCCTTCTGGTTCTCTCTAGGGGTCAGCCGAATTTTTCTCAGACCTGGTAGAAGTCAGAGTTTGGCAGTTCCCACACATCTCTCCTCCAAACTCTACCATGAGAGAGGGGCATACTTCAGAGGGAAAATCCCAGTGATGGACCCCAATTGGCCTAGATAGGGTCAGGGACTCACCTCGGGCCAGTGGATTGTGACCAGAGTTCAGGGGTCTGGTGATGAGCACACCACCCCCAATGAGGACCACTTGTATTTGATTGGTTTGGGGCAGGATTCACCCTCCCAAAGGGAGCTGGGCAAAGTGTCCCAGCAGCTGGGTGGGATTGGGACATAATCCCCCTGGTTCTCAGGAGTTGGAGCTTGAATCCAGGCCCAAGGCAATGCCCATGCAGGGGCCTGGACTGCCTCTGTGGCTGGATCTTCCTCCTGCTGTGGCCAATGAGAGCCTGAGCTCTGCACACAGCTGCTCAGTCCCTTCCTGCAGCAGGTGGGGGTGCTGGAGAAGGGGCAGTGCCTGCTGTTTCACGCTCCATACTACCTGACCAGAACAGAGGCCCTCCAGATGGGGAAAGGACCCAGGATTATCTGGTGGTCCTTGAGAGGGATAGGGAGGGAGACGTGGCTAAGGAAGAAAGGCACAGACACATGACGCTGCTGGTTTGAAGATGGACAGGGACCCTGAGTCAAGGCAAAAATATAGGCACCTCCAGAAGCTGGAAAAGTCAGGGAGACAGATTCTCCTTAGAGCCTCCAGAAAGGAATGCCGCCCTGCCGACACTTTGGTTTGAGCCCAGGGAGACGCCTGTTGCACTTCTCCCCTACAGGACTGTAGGCTCAATGGTGTGGTTTTAAGCTGCTGAGTTCTGGTGCTTGTTAGAGCAGCAATAGGAGGGAGCTTAGTCTATTCTGACAGCCTGGCTGGTCCACAGAGAACATTTCAGAGCTGCCAAAGAACTGTTTAATCTTTTGTAACAGTTTCAGTGAGATATAATTCACATATCATTTAAAGTATACAATTCCTCATAGATTTTTAAGGGGTTGTTTTACAACCTCTACCAAGGGTCTCCCCTTTTAACCTCTGAAATATCCATTATTAACCCCAAGTACAACTCCAGAGGCTTATATAAGATACTTTTGCTCCTTATCAGTGGTTATTAAACTACTGATGGCTGATACTAAATAGCTCATCCAGGTCCAGTTGTACTTCCTGATTCAGAAGTTCAATGTCAGGTGAAAGGAAGTGAGCTTGTTATTAGCTTAGCAGCTGGAGCAGAAGCCCTCTCTGGAGAGGAGCTTTCCGTATAGAAACACACCTTGATTGCTGGGGGAAAGATGACATTTGAGAACGGGGAAGGTGACAGGCATCAGTCATCTGAGCTGGCCGAGTTATTCTCTCTGAGACTAGGGGGAACTTACTTTGCTCCAGCGAGGGGGAGAAAACGAAGAAAGAGGGATGGAGAAGCGTGGACATGGTGGTAAGTACTGGCAGGACGGTTAAAGCCAGATCTACCAAATTCCCACTCAAACCTGGAGTCAGATCTGGGCCCTGTCCTAGCCCATTGACCAGTCTGTTTATTCCTATGCTGCCATGACACTATTCTGATTACTATAGGCACAATAAATTGTTTTAATATCTCATAGGGGGTGAATCTCACAGACAGCAAGCTGAGTGAAAGAAGCTGGACACAAAAAGAATGTTAAGTAATATTCCACTTAGATGAAATTCTAGAACAGGTGGAACTAAGCTATAATGACAGGAAGCAGATCAATGGTTGCCTGGGTCAGGCCCAGTGTTGGGAGGAAAAGGGTTGGGGGAATGTTGACTATAAAGGAGCTTCAGGGAACCTTCCAGAAAGATGGAAATGCTCTATGAGGCTGGTGTTGATTAGGTTGGTGATTACAAAAGTGCACACATTTATCAAAACTTCAAATTGTGCTGAAACCGGTTTGTCTCAGTGGATAGAGCGTCAGCCTGCGGACTGAAAGGTTCCAGGTTCGATTCCGGTCAAGGGCATGTATCTTGGTTGCAGGCACATCCCCACAAGGGGTGTGCAGGAGGCAGCTGATTGATGTTTCTCTCTCATCGATGTTTCTAGCTCTCTATCCTTATCCCTTCCTCTCTGTAAAAAAAAATCAATAAAATATATAAAATATATATTCAAATTGTACACTTAAAGTGTATTAATTATATTGTATGTAAGTTATACCTCAATTAAAAATAAGTTTCCCTTAACTCATTGCTGTTTCCAAAAATTGTGAATATTTTATTTAGAATTTCTGTATCAATATTCAGAAGATTGATTCACATAGTTTTTTAAATGCTGATTTGTCCGATTTTGGTATCATTTGACCTGCCTTGTAGGTTGTTTCCCTATATTCACTCCTAATTATGTGGACTTTTCTTTGTAAAACTGGTCAGAAGCGCCTGGCCAGTGTGGCTCAGTGGTTGAGCATCAACCAATGAACCAGAAGGTCATAGTGCAAATCCAGGTCAGGGTATATGTCCAGATTGCAGGCTCAATCCCCAGCAGGGGGCATCCAGTCAGTGATTCTCCCTCATAATTGATGTTTCAATCTCTCCCTCTTCGATCTTCTCTGAAATCAATAAAAATGCATTTTTTTTAAACTAGCCAGAGGTTTCATAGTTTGTTGATCTGTTCAAGGAATGAGCTTCTTTTTTCCTTTTTATTATATGTTGATTTCCTATATATATTCTAAAGTCTATTTTTTTGTGTGTGGGGGAACATACATTGGAACTCTCTTTTTTAATCATTTCAGACTGTCTTAACTACTGTTCTAGGGAGCATTTTAGTATCTCTTACCAAGAGATTTTGGTAAATCCATTGAGTACTCTAAAACTTCCTTTTCTCTAACTTCCTCGGTCCCTCTAGGCACCTGGGAGTGAGTCAGGAGATAATGACATCACTTTGGAAAGGTTTCTGGACAGACGTGCCACTCCGCAGCCGACGGCTGCTTGTTGTGGAGGTATGTGGGCTCCGATCTGTCAGGCCTGAAGCACATTTGCCCTAATAAATGTCTTTACCACATGCTGAGAAATCCTGATGAGGAACCTGGATCCTGGGCAACCAGGCCAAGAATACTCTGTTCCATCTTCCATTGTAACAATGAAACGTTGAGTGCCTGCTAAAAGATGCACAAATTATTTTAAATATAAGAATAGGATGATTGTTTAAAAAGAGCTCCAGCTGGTTAAATTTAGGTTCCTGCAATAAAACTCGGCTCCCACACATTCTCTGGCTTTGGGCCCCGGAGGGCTGCAAGTTCTCCCGACTGAATGGGAGCCTGCGGTCTTGCGTGTCCGGGTTTTCCGGTGGTTTTGATGCTCTGAGTCAGGGCGTCAGGAACTGCACTGACCTCAAGAACACTTCCTCTGTTATTTGAGTGACCCGTTTCTAGACTACTGTTGCCAGTTAGGAAAAGTCCTATTCGGTAAATTACTTTCAGAGAACCCTTGGGCAGAAAACCAGGTGGCTACTTTCCATTGGCTTGACCAGGCAGGTCCTCTCTGCCCCTGTCCTTTGAATGTGTTGACTCCTTGATGTTCACCTGCCAGGGCCTTCAAGAACGCTAAGCCACCATTGGGCATCAAGTCAGGGCTCCAGCAGGCCTAAGTAGGCTCTCCGGTTCAGTTAACAAACTTGGCCTGACGTCCAGGCGGCCTTGTCACAGCTCCAAGGCAGCCTGGCCTCTTTCCTTTGTCTTCGTTGCTCCTTTAAGGACTTTTTCCATTGGCTTCCAACATCCTCCCCCTCCATACCAAACATCACCCAGGTGAATGCACCAGGGAGAGTGCCCAGAGAAGGCATGGGTGAGGAACAGGTAGGGCTGCACCAGCCATTCCTTCTAACCTAGAGCCGTGTTCGGCAAACTCATTAGTCAACAGAGCCAAATATCAACAGTACAACGACTGAAATTTCTTTTGAGAGCCAAATTTTTTTAAAAATATATTTTATTGATTTTGTACAGAGAGAAGGGAGAGAGATAGAGAGTTAGAAACATCGATGAGAGAGAGTCATCAATCAGCTGCCTCTTGCACACCCCCTACTGGGGATATGCCCGCAACCAAGGTACATGCCCTTGACCAGAATCGAACCCGGGACCTTTCAGTCCCCAAGCCGATGCTATATCCATTGAGCCAAACTGGTTTCGGCTTGAGAGCCAAATTTTTTAAACTTAAACTTCTCCTAACGCCACTTCTTCAAAATAGACTCACCCAGGCCGTGCTATTTTGTGGAAGAGCCACACTCAAGGGGCCTAAGAGCCATATGTGGCTCGAGAACCACAGTTTGCCGACCACGGGCCTAAAGGGATGGAGGGGGCACCAGGGTAAGGGGAGTGCGTGAGAAAAGAAGCATTGCTGAGCTCTCTGTCCACTTGGACATGTGTTCAGAGGAAGGAGGACCCTCAATTTCCTGACAGGTCCAGTGATTCCTAGTCCGGATTATGTGACATGTGGAAGATTCTAGAGAGAGAGCAGGCCTGAGTGATCACCATTAAGCAGATGAATCAGAATATAAACACAAGTTGGGAGCTTTTCAGGATTCTACCACCTTCCATCTGAGTTCTAATTCATGGGTCAGGTACTGCCTGAATACCAATAATAGTCACCATCTCTTTAACCTGTCAGAACTGTGAAACTGAACAACGCTGAATGGAATTCAATGAATGAATTTCAGTTAAGAGTCTTTGATTGCAAGCAAGACAGATTGTGGTTCTGGCTAGCTGGAAGCATACAGAGAAACTCTGGGATAGCTCAGAAGGCTAATGGGAAGGAAGGCAGGAGAAACAAGCTTAGAAACAGCAGGAACTGGGGTGGCAGTGAGCCAACTGTACCTGCAGTGAGCCAACTTTACCCTTTTCTGTCCTGTGTCTCTCTACTTGTCCTTGTATCTCAGAGTCCCAACGAGTCTGATGGATAGAATGTAGGCTCTAAGCCCCTAGAACTCGGGGGCAATTCTGAGTTTTGTGATGTGTTCTGAAGACCCCTTTGGCTTCTTTAGCAATGAGGTTGGGAACTTCCTGACCTACTGCTCCCCAAAGACTGCATTCAATTGGATAGGGGCAAATCCCTCCAAAAGCATCAAGGGCTGTTTTTAAAAGGGCAATGAATATCTGATGGCCATAAAATAAGTGCCCATGACAAATGAGTAGACAATCACTAACCTATTGCAAGTGGTGGAAAATGACAGCTCATAGGCTCATTCGGAGTCGTAATGTTTTTTGGAAGGGACTGAGACCCATGGAGAGATGCCAAATCCCAGACCAGGCAGCCCTTGGAATTCCTTCTTGTGCCTTTCCCTGGAATGGCCAAAATGGCTAAGGTTTGTTAGCTAACAAAATGTCACCCAATTCTTTTCCTATCTAATAAATAAAAAGAGCTACATTTAGTGCCAGGCACCATGACTGCAATAATTAATGTTTCCCATCCTCACATTAAGCCTATTGGGAAATTACTATACCTATCCCCATTTTACAGATGATAACACCAAGGCACAGACCTAGCTCACTAGGCTGGTGAGAATTAGAGTGGGTTTCAAACCCAGTCTTGGTTGAAATCATAGAATGCTTTCACCAACAGTCCTCCTTCAAGGAGGATGCCATGGGTACGAAGCTCAGTATAAGAACTCAGGAGTCTTACTTGGGGGAAATGGGGACTATTTTGCAGATGCCTGGAACAGGAAGTAACCATCAAACCCAGGAAGGAAGAAGAGATTTGGAGAAGACTGTTTCAAAAGTCAAAAATAAAACAAAAGGATGGAGAGCTTTACCAACCCTTGAGGATTTCTCTGAAGTGTTGAGCTGTGGAGAGTTGAAAGAGCTGCTAATGTCACTGCATTCCCGCTTCAGCTCCTACTTGGCGAGGGACTTGTTTCCTGTGGTTCCCGGGATGATTTATATTCCATTCCCATTTCTCACACGGAATG